CCTTCAGAGTTTCTAATCTGGGGTGAATCTGGGGTGGGCTGCAGAACTTGTATTTCTAACCTAGTTGATGTTGATGCTACTATTCTGGCAACCTATACTTTGAAAACCACTGATTAGACTATATGTGTGTTATATTGCACATACTTCTATCATAGAGAAATCACCCTATTTCAAATTCATCTGGGTGATATAATAATGCTTTTTTTTGGGTTTTATAGTATATAGTCTACTTTTATTCTTATCTTATTTAAAATAAACCCTAGAATTGATTTTGGGATTGCAGACTTATGATGGAAGAGTAGATTAGAAAAACTGAAATGGGGACCATGATGCATACCTGTAATCTCAGTGCTGTTGAAGACTGAGACAGGATCTCAAGTTTGAGGCTAACCTCAGCAATTTAGTGAGGACTTAAACAACCCCTGGGTTCAATCCCTAGTACATTAAAACAAAACAAAACAAAAAACTCTGTAAATTAAACTAATGAGGAATTTCCAACTGGAGTTAATACCTTGATTTTTTTCAACATTTATCTTTGTCCTTAAGTAAATCATACCATGCTCTGCATTTTGATATTTGGTTATTTTTGTTCATCTATTTATTCCTCAAGTGAATTTATAGTATTTTCCTGCAATACTACTGATTTTATAATGGAAAGTTAAGAATACCAATGATAATTTCAGGGTATAAATTAGTGACAAATGATAGACATTTACATATATATATGTGTGTGTGTGTGTGTGTGTGTGTGTATGTAAAAGAACATATATTTTAAATATAAAATATTTTTGTAAAACACTAAAGACTAAAGTATAAAATAAAAAGGGTATTAATTTCCAAAAGTATGTCAAATTTCACTGTTTACAGAAGAAACACAGGAGGAAGCCCAGTTAAAGACAATGGATTGTAATTTTGCATGAAATTTGATATTAATGCATAGTATAAAGAAAATGACTAATAAAGCAGGATAAAGTACAGATAGTAAAGAAGTAGTAGTAGTAATTCATATTTGAAAAATTTCCAACATAGTTTGTTACACATCTTGTTTAATGTGTTCCTTCATTCAGAGTGTTTAAAGGTGACTATAGAAAAAACCCTTGACCATGATGACACTGTTCTTTTATAGATTTTTAGCTATTGTGGTGAAGTAGTCTTAGTATTATCTCTGTGGTCTCCTATTTTTTCTTGACCTAATGACTATCCTAGTATCTCAGCATATTTTATTCTTCCTCTCTTCTAAGCTTCCTGCACTTCTTTTTCATTCTCACTTTGAGCTGATAAATACCCTTGCTTTCTACTCCACTGAGAAAATATTCTTATGGGAGAGAGAACTTTTTCTCCTCTTAACTCCAACTACTAACATATCTGAAGGTATACTCATATTCTTTTTATTTCATTGTAAGAACTATTTATACTCATCTAAATCCAAATAAACTGCATTTGTCGCTATCTGAATTGTTCATGTCATTATACACATTTGCAGTCTATCTCTGAAACAAATAAAACCCCCTCTCTTTTGATATCCTATTTACCTTGAACTATTGTTTAATTTTGCTGCATTTTAAATAGAAAATTTTCTCTGAAGAGTTTTCACTATCTTCATTTTTTTCTTTGCATGTTTAACTCATTCTAATTAAGTTTTCATACCCATCATTCTCCTAAAACAGTTCTTGTTAAGATCATCAGAGACCTGATATGTCTAAATTAAGAAACCCATTTTCAATTTTTATCTTCTAAAGCATCTGCAGCATTTAACATAGTTGACCATTCCTTCTAAAAATACTTCATTCACTTACATCTCTTGATTCTCCTCTTAGACTACTGGCGTGGGTGTCTTCTTAGTATCATTTACTGAAAAATTTCCCCTCATGTTCCTAATCTATAAATGTTGAAGTGTACCAGATTCGCTCCTCAGATTTATTTGTTGAAAATAACACCTGGATAATATCATCTACTCTTATATTTGGATAAAATGCCTTTGAATGACTCTTAAAGTTGTGTCTTTAACCTTAACTGCTTTCTTGATTCCAGACTTGTCAAACTGCTTACTTCTCTTGGATGTTGACTAGAACACCTCAAATTTAGCATATACAAATCCCAACTCAGTGTCCAACTATTTCCTGCTCTATATTTAAAATCATATTTATTCCATCCTTCTAGTTGCCCAGGCAAAAAAGCCTTAGAGACATTATTGACTTTTCTCTTTCTTTTACATGTCTAAAGCACTAGGAAATCCTGTTAGTTCTACCTTCAGAATATCTAGAATTTTATCAGTTTTCAGTATCACCACACTTACTATCTTATTCATTTCACCTGTGTCTTTCCTCTGGGGTATTGCAATTGCTTTCTAATAGCTTTTCTTTCCATCCTTGACCCTTACAGTCTGTCCTCAACCCGAATAACTAGTATGATACTCATAAACTGTCAATTTGTAATATGTTATTTCTTGGCTCAAAACTGTCCTGTGCTCTACTGTTTCACTGAAAATCAGATTCATATTTCATGGGGCTTAAAAGGCCACATATTATGCCCAGTGACCAATTTGTTCTCAGCTACCATTCACTTGTTCACTCTACTACAAATATATTTACTTCTTTGCTGTTCTTTGAATATACCAATTATAGTAGTTCCTCTGTTTCCCCTTATCTGTGATTTGGCTTTCCATGGTTTGAGTTACCCATAGTCAACTGTGTTCCTAAAATATTAGTAGAAAAATCCCAAGAATAAACATAGAAACCACATTTATATAACTTCTATTATAGTTACATTAATATAATTGTTCTAGGGCTGGGATTATGGCTCAGCAGCAGAGTACTTGCCTAGCACGTGCAGGACCCGGGTTTGACCCTCAGCACCACATAAAAATAAAGGCATTGTGTTATGTCCATCTACACCTAAAAAATAAATGTTTAAAAAATAATTGTTCTATTTATTTTTAGTTATTGTTAATATCTCTCTCTGAGCCAAATTTATACATTAATTTTATGATAGATATGTATGTGTAAGGAAAAAAACCCACCATATATAGAGTCTGGTGTTATCTTGTGATTTTGGGCATCTGTGGAGGGTAGTTTTTGGAACACAGGGCCTGTGGATAAGGGATGTGTTCTATTCTGTATGTTCAGTGTCTTTGTACTTGAAACTAGTCTGGTGGTTTGAAAAAACTGGCTACCTGAGATCTGCATGATTCTCACTTCCTTTCTTTAGATCTTTACTCAAATATTAAAGGGAGTCATTTGTTAAGCTTGCTTTGCAAGTTTGCTTTCTCTTCCTTTCACTTTACCTGGGAATGAAAGGAAGCTTATTGCCATCACTTTCTTAGCTATCCTAATTTATTTTCCTTATTATACTTATAGCCATTTGACAGGCTATGTATTTACTTATATATCTTTATTTTCAGTATCTCTTTACTAAAATATTAATTTCATGAGGTCAACCTTTTGTTTTCTGTAGTGTCTCTAATCCCTGGGCCAGTGCCTGTCTTACAATAAATGCTCAATAGATATTATTGAATTGTTATTCTTCCCTTTATCTTTTACTATTACTTCTCTTTTTCTCTGGAGATATTTTATGGTTGCCACTGATTTGTCAACCTCACCCAGAAACCCTTCATGAAATAGGCTTTATATTGGTAACTTGGGGCTCTTGGTCAACAGTGACATAGAGGTCTGCTGTATTTAGTGCCTCAGCAACAGGGTACTTTGGTCCAACCCCTGAATGGGGGTGCCATATCTATTATAAACTTTTGCCGTTTTAGGCTTTCATGAAAGTCTTAGTTCCCAGCAAGGATATTCAGAAGGTTTCTGCAGTCTCCTTTCCTGAGTTATGAACTCCATCCTAGGCTTACTTTCAAATTATGAGCTTGATTATTCTTTGACATATGAGCAAGGCAATTTGTTTTTCATTATCTCCAGAAACCAAGCTCCTTTTCACTTCAGCAAATAACCTCTTCATCCCCATTCATAGCTTTGTATTTCTGCTTAGTTTGTGATCCTCAGGGACGTAGCTATGTTTCTTTACTTTTTTTCTTTCTTCCTTGTCTGTAAATTCTACGATACATGGGTGATTTAGGCACAGATTCCTATTTTCTTTACCTATTTATAAAGTTTGTTTTTTTTAAAATTATGACTCTGTGTCCAGAAGATTTCTTACCATTTTTGATATAAATTAAACAGTATCAGCTTGATTATATAATCTCTTCCAATCTTTGTTCCTTTTCCTTCTCCTCCTTTCCATATTTAAAGGTTTCTATTTTTAAATGATTATCATTATTTACATGTAAATAATCCCAAAGGATTATGCTTTGATTATACAATTACTATTTAGTTTAGGTAGTAGTATTCTCAGAGGCTAGGAATGTATAAGAAGTTGTCAAAAATTTAAAAATTCTACTCATAGAATATTGATAATTAGTAAATCTGTCTCTCCTTTGAAACTCCTACTTTAAAAATGATACTATTTTATTCTAATCTAATTACATGTATAAAATGCCTATATTACTATGAATATGTTTACTTTTTATTGTTAGTTAATTTAAAAGTGATGACCTTTTTGGTCATTGCATTCAAGGTTAAACAATATATACATATACATTTTTGATGATATACATAAATTTGGAAATGAAACTGTTTTTTTAAAGAGAAAGAGAGAATTTTTTAATATTTATTTTTCAGTTTTCAGTGGACATAACATCTTTATTTTATTTTTATGTGGTGCTGAGGATCGAACCCAGTGCCCTGTGCATGCCAGGCAAGCATGTTACCACTTGAGCCACATCCCCAGCCCTGAAACTGTTCTTTTAATATGAAGTTGTTTTAGTTGTCAGCAGTTGTAAGTTGTTGTCACTTGCCATATGGTTTCTGATTAATTCTGAAAGGGCTGTCAACCCAAGATAATTTAATTTCTTATCTCTTAAAGTGATATTCATTATCAGGATATGAATATTTAAAGGACTAGTTAGAAATTATGACTAATAAACTATTAAATTTTTTTCTTTCTAGAGAAAAACAAAAATCTGAAGCAAAAGACAGAAAAGTTCTAGAAATTCTGCAAGTCAAGGATGCTAAAATACAAGAATTGGAACAGGTTAGTGTTATAATAAAATGTTTAAAAAATCAATATATTTACTTCAGGTAGTAGATTTTTTTTTTAGTTGTAGTTGGACACATCTTTATTTTAATTTGTTTTTATTTTTATGTGGTGCTGAGGATCAAACCCAGCGCCTTGCATGTGCTAGGTTTTGCTGGGCCACAACCTCAGCCCCCAGGTAGTAGATCTTTAATACTATTAATTTTTTGCAATAATGTTCATTAAGAATATCCAGGTGGTTACATTAAAGCATTACTATTTTGAAATCACTGTAGTGAGTCTATTTTTATACTGTGCATATAGCCTATTCTTTGTTTTCTGAATTAGTAGGCTAAGATATTTATTTGCTTAAACTTTTAGGTAATGTGAGTTTTATAGTAGTATTTACCTATTATTTATTGTTTTATTGAATTTTGTCTTTTATTATTAGCACTCATTCACCTGTGAAACTTATAAATATGCGTATGGTATTATTTGTATAAAGGATGAATAACAACTTGTATAAATCTATTTCATCATTTGAAAATGTTTTTTTGAATTAGTTTAAGCCTATATTTTATATATATATATATATAATCAGCAAGTTATACAATTTAGTTAATATGTGATTAATTATGTGTAACTGTATAAATTGGTATAGTATTATTGCAACAGTGTGTGTTGGCAGTGCCTTCTAGGAACCATTTTTTTTAATACCTTTACTTTATTTATTTATTTTTATGTGAGCTGAGGATCGAACCCAGGGCCTCGCACTTGCGAGGCAGGTGCTCTTCCGCTGAGCCATAACCCCAGCCCCGGAACCATTTTTAAAATGCAGACGTCTTAAAAGCAGTAGTGAAAGAATCTGTTTTTGGATTGAATAGAAGTAGCTTTTTGGCAACCATACGGTTCTGATATTTATTTATTTTCTTTCCTAACAATTAAAGGGTCATGGGAACTTGAAGCTAAGATTGGTTATTATTATAAAATTGTTCTATTAAAATTTTGAATGTTGAAACTAACTTCAATAAGACATTCAACTATTTTCCCTTTATCTACATTCATATAAATTTTTTCTACAGTGGGATGTATATCCCAATATGACATACTAATTTGACTCTTAGATCTTCTATACAGTTGTTTTAGTTAGCTTTTCTGTAGCTGTGACCAAAAGATCAGACAAGAACAACTTAGAGGAGGAAAAGTTTATTTGAGGCTAGTGGTTTCAGAGGTCTCTATTCATAGATGAGGGGCCCAACAGAGGAAAGCTGCTTAGTCCATGGTAAGAGTCTGGAAGCAGAAAAAGGATTTGCAAAGAGAAGCCATAGGGAAGTTGCATTCTTTGAGGGCATACCTCCAGTGATCCATCTCCTCTAGTCATACCTCATCTGCTTATAGTTACCACCCAGTCAGTTAATTCAAGCTGGTATAGACTGATTAGGTTATGTGAGAGCTCTCATAACCTCTTCTTTTCACCTGTGAGTGTTCTGAATTAACAATAGCTTTTGGAGGATTCTTCATACCATAACAAAAGTCGTATTTTCCGTATATAAAATATCACAATTGATACTATAAAAATAGCATTTAAAAAATAACAATTTATTTAGAGTTTTGGCATTTTTTAAATATCCTTTAACATTAAGTTTGCAATGCTTTAATGAACATTCTTTAGTTTAATGTAGAAGCTATAGCATTATATTAAAAATATATTGGCTTTCATAAATGATGATTTATTTTCCCCTTTTATTTGCTAAGGGACATTTATTTTAAGTCATTGACTCACACAATTATGGGGTAACAAGTTTGTATTCTACAAGGCCGGCTGGCAGAATGGAGACACAGTAAAGAGTTGATGTTATAGTGCAGATCCTAAGGGAAACGGAAGGTTGAATTCCTTTCTCCTTCAGTAACCATAGACTTTTTTAGGTCCTTCAGTTGATTGGGTATGATTAACCCACATTATTGAGGCTAATCTTCTTTACTCAAAGTCTACTAATTTAAATGTTAATCACATCTTAAAAGTATTTTCATCACAATATCTACATTGGATACTATGAGTACCATAGCCTAGCCAAACTGAAACATAAAGTTAGCCAAATGGGTAAAAAGAACTGATGTAAACAGTCCTTTATCGTGAGGTTTTGTATTTATCACCCTAGGGATTATGCTGTGTCTACTGTTTGTTGTAGTCGTAGGTGTTAGAGATTAAATGTTTCTTTGGTGGCCTTAATTTTGTTTGAATTTCTCTGGACTTTTGAGACTTTGAAATATTTTCTGACACACATAATTCTTTCATTTGTATTGCCCTTTTATTTTATCAGAGCCCTATTGATGTGGTGGTGAGGCCTGGGGGAAAAGAAGAAGTATTCTATAGTATTATAATTAGGTCTCAGTCTTTTGGTTAAGAGTGCCTCTGTACTTTTACCTACATAATTGCTTCTCCATTTTGTTCCTTTCCTTAGGAGAGCTAGGAAGGCTGGAGGCTGTTGGATTAGATATTTCTTTTTTCCAGATTAATTAGGCTGTGGCAAAATCCTGTTAGGCTGGGCTCTGGTAAATAGTTTCTCTTGAGAGCGGATCTTATTAAAAAGTAAAGAATGTGCTATATGTTTTTAAATGGCTACACTTCCTTTCCGCCTGCTGGCAGCAGGAAGGTATTTTTCACCAGTCTTCCCTTTGACAGCCTGATAAAGCTCCTATAGGTAAAACTCATGAAAATGTGCACCTGCCCCCAAAGTCCAGACCCTCTTGGAGTTTTTAACTCTCAAATATGTCCACGTAGTTCCTCCATTAATTAGCTGATTATACATAGGTTTTCCTATCCTGATACTGGTTCCCATGGAGTTTTTTGTTCCTTGTCTTCTGCTTTGGTCAATTATTATTCTCATATCTACTTCTCTCTTCAATTTTGGAAATATTGCTTTGTCCAGTGACCTCATTTCTCTGATGACTCTAAACATTGTGGATTTTCAGTTTGCTTATTTATTTATTTTTCTTTTCTTGTGTGAATGGAGATACAGCTTCCAAGATTACATGCTAAATTAGAAAATGGAAATCCCTGCATTAGGTCTTTTTTTTTTTTTTTTGGTACCAGGGATTGAATCCTGGGATGCTTAATCACTGAGCAACATCCCCATCCCCAGCTCTTTATTTATTATTTTGAGACTTTTTTAATATTTATTTTTCAGTTTTAGGTGGACACAATATCTTTTTTTATTTTCATGTGGTGCTGAGAATAGAACCCCGTGCCTCATGCATGCTAGGCGAGCACGCTACCACTTGAGCCATATCCCCAGCCTCTATTTTGATACTTTGAGACAGGGTTTTGCTAAGTTGCTGAGGCTGGCTTTAAACCTGCGATCCTCCTGCCCTGGCATCCCACGCTGCTGTGATTACAGGCATGAGCCACCATGCTGGGCTTCTATTAGGTTTTTGTTGCTCTACTGAATAATATTAAATAGATCTTCATTTTCAGCTTATAATTTGTAGATTAGAAAAGCAATTAGAATGACAATTCCTTTACCTTAAGTCTTAACTAGTCAAATTTGTTAGAAAGTTATGATTTTTTTTTAAAGCCGGTTGCAGCAAAACCTTTATGTAAGTGCCATCAAATGTTGGCACTTGCATTTTTAAAAAATATTGTAGTTTGACACAATACCTTTATTTTATTTAATTTATTTTTATGTGGTGCTAAGAATCGAACCCAGTGTCTCATACATGCTAGGCAAGTGCTCCACCACTGAGCCACAACTCCAGCCCCAGCACTTGCATTTTATTGGTAATAGTGTAAAGAACTGCCATATATTTCTGAAGAAGACTATGCTTTAGCTTTGTCACTGTTATGAAATAAGTGATTTAATAAATTTCTCTTCTATTATTCCACTAAATAACATGACTTTTGATAACTTAGTGTATTGCATTTAATTAAATGACAGTTGCTCTTTAGCATTGTATTTATTTTTTTCTTACCTTTCTAGGAAGCTGAGAAATAAATTTTGGTTTTGAATTGCAATTATTTTTCTTAACCCTTTTCCTGTCTTCATTTACCATTATTTTAGTTGTAATTTCATTATTTTCTTAAATTAAAACGTTCCCATCCACTTTGAAAGTAGGTCAGTATCAATAATAAATTAACCTTGTTCCAGTATTACCTGGTAAAGTTTTAGGTCTTATGCTATTGTCCTCCCTGCCTCTCCTCCTTCCCCGCTTTGTCCTATTATTTTCTTCTTTCTCTATAGATTTATCTTAACCATGATTTGAATTATTCATTTATTGGCTTATCCATATAAATTATTTGTTCCAGACATACTTTCTCTTGTCACTCTGTATGCTTTATGGTTCCTCTGAGCTCTGTTTGTTATTTTAATATTAGTTCAAGCTAGACTATTAAGAATTTGCTCTATCCAGAAAGGTTTGTTGAAAAAAGTTTTATAAAGCTTAATTTTTAAATGATTTTTAACTGTATATACCTGTGCTTTCATTATTTAAAGTAGATCATTGAGAGTACATTTCATTAGGAAAATATGTTGAATTCTACAGAATTTTCAAGCATTTAGCAATTTTCTGAATTAAACTGTGATAAACTGATATTATTCCTCTTCATTAAAATGTTATATTGTATAATCAGTTATCTTATACAGATGTAACATTGTATAACATTAGTTTATAAAACAAAGTAACATCTCATTTTGCTTACTTTGCTTATCTCACCATATTGCATAACTGCTTTGTGTAACATTACTAATTATAAAATGTATTTACATTTGTAAAAGTATTAAAATGATAGTTTTATTTAACTCACCTTATTCATTCATTCATTTACCTTATTCATTTTATTTCTTTTTTCTTATAAATTACCAAATTCATTAATGTGCTAAACTTTTATTTTTAGTGCTTGTTAAGTTTAGCTCAGTTTAATGGAAAACCCTGCTAAAACCTTTTTTTAAACACCTTCTTTTTTTTTTAATGCCTTCACTTTATTTTATTTTTTTTATGTGGTGCTAAGGATCAAACCCAGTGCCTCATGCATGCTAGGCAAGTGCTCTACCACTGAGCCACAACCCTAGCTCCAAAACTGTGCTAAAACTTTTAAGTCAGTTGTTTAGTGTCTGTCTGTCCTAGAATCTAAATAAACTCCAGAAGAGGGACATGCTTCTTTAGAGTAATAGCTGTATAGATGTTTTTAAGATAGTCTTAATGTTTGCATCTTTGAATTTATCATTCAGTATAAATCTCATCTGTAAATTCTTACTAATCCTATTTGAACGATAAAGAGTATTTAGAGATAATCAGCAAGAGTAGATAGTACATTATATGTCAAATGAATCATATAAGAAATGTACAAAGTTAGAGAAGGCAAGAATTATAAAATAGGTGGGCTAGTTGTAGAAACCTTCATGAAGTTAAAGGAGCTGCAAGCTGAATCTTCAAAAAGGATAAGACTTAGATGGGAATAGAAGAATGGACTCTGACTTGAGGATGGGCCATTTATGTTATCTATTTTTATGCTGTTTGACCAATGTCATACACATTTTGTTATGACCTACTAATTAAACAGGAAATACAAAATTAAAAACTACATTGAGTTTCCATTTATACTTACAGGATTTGTAAAAATCCCTTCAGACTTCCTCTTAAATGTTGGTGGGGATATGGAGTGATAGGAACTCTTGAAGTGCATATAGCCTATTTCTTAGCAATTTCATCTCCTACGTATATATGATCTATAGAGTGTTTTCTAGTCTTTTATTAATGTGACCCTGTCATGACTCAGTATAGACAAACATGGAATGGAAGTTTCATATAATAGTTGTCCTTACTACACCTAATAAAGATAAACATTCAACAAAATTTATATAAAATGTGAATTTCATAATGCTTAATAAAATAATAATTTCAAATTAAACATTACAAAAATGTAGGCAAAATTTTGACTTACATAGTGTGCCTGTTTTGTATGTTTATTCTTATAGGCATCATGTTTTTGCTAAGAATTTGTGCATCTCATTTTGATATTTTCTACTGAATTATATTTCATTTTTTAAAGAAAATGCTGATTTAATGACTGGTTTGACTTAATGACCTATTACTAGATGATAGTTCTGAGTTTGAAAAATACTGCTTGGGAAGAAATCTTACTTATATGTTCCTGGAGATGTTTGAGAGTGTTTATAGCTCTGTTGTTTGTAAAACTTTTTCCCTGGAGTGGGAAACAACTGAAAGATACATTGACAAGAGAGAAATATAGTATATTTATATCATGGAATCAAAATGTATACCACAGTACTCAAACTGAAGCTATGTCCATCAATATGGATCAATTTGGGAATATATTTTGAACAAAAATAGTGAGACACAGAATACGTATACTATGATTTAATGTGTATTCAGTTAAAAAAGAAATTATATGTTAAATATGCATATTATGTTTTTAAACCATAAAGAAAAATGAGAGAAAGATAAAAAATAGTTTAAGGATAGGGGTTACCTCTGGAGTGGTGGGATAAGAGGTGTTAGAGGGTAAGACTTCAAAGATAATGGTTGCATTTCTTAGCTGGATACAAAGCTCCTTTAAAAATTTTTTTTCTTTATTCTTAACCTACTTGCCACAGATTAATTTTATGTGTGTTTAGCACCTAAACTATTTTAGTAAAAGTAAAATATTAACATTACAACTTTAAAAAATTAGACATTAGAGCTATCCTTTCTTTATTCCTTAAACTCACCCTCTTTTCATCACCTCCCTCAGTCTTACTCTCATATCCATGTCAACCTTAAGTTCTTTGGAGAGGGTTTGATAAAGAATAAATACAGTAGTACAAATAAATTGGTATTTATGGATCAGCATCAATGATAGGTCAGACATGGCATAACTATCAGTTTCTACTAAGCATATTACTTAAAAATAGAAAAAACTTTCTATTTTGATGTGTCTGCTTCTTCTTTGACAGATGGAGCTGTTGAGTCTTAATTGGAAGCTTCAAATAAGCATGTCAGGCCAGATAGTGTTTAGTTAGTTGAAAGCATGGATGGGTTGACAGAAGTTCATGAAATCTAGAAAAGAGTATCAGAATATGAATTTTGGTTTTAGCATGCTAGTTTCAAGTAGCCACAGGCCATCTCAGTGGAAGTATTTTATCGAAAGTTGCAAATTTGAGATTGGTGATTGGAAGAGTCTCAGTTGGTTGATGGATTACTCTTTCATATAGAGTAATACATGTCAAGAGAAGCAGTAAGTTTTCTGAGAGAAAAACCATATAAAAAAAGATTGATGCCAAGAATTGAGTCATGGTTACAGCCACCAGTTAGGTATCATTTACATATTGCTGATGAGAAGACTATTTAGCTAAAAATTATGGCAATCTTCTGAATATTTTGTCTAAAGAGCAAGGTATTTTTAGTACTGAGACAAACTGGCTATTCTTAATTCTTAAATGACTTACACTTTCATGAGGTGTTTTTATTAAGTTTTCCAAATGATATTCAAATAAGAGAATAGTAATTCTTATTTTAGTGATACATACATGTTTATTATTAGAATGCTTTACATTTGTTTTCTCCTGTTTTGTACTTGAATACTGAAAGTTTGCTTTCTCAGTGTGGCTTAATATTTAGTGTACAGGTTTTTTTGTGTTCTTCATCTTAAACTATTAAACAGTTGCCCATTTTACTGAAACTATTAATTATTTGCCTGTTTTAGTTGAAAATCTGCGAGCAGGTCATAAATGAGAATTATGATAGACTTTTTTATGAAAGTTAGTTAATATTATAACATTGTTAAAATTAAAATCCAAACATTTTCTTAGACATACCAGCTCACAAATAATTTATTTATTTGTCTACAGAAAGAATCAGTACTAAAAGAGGAAATAAATGACCTTCTACAACAGAAGATTTCAGTAGATGAAGAATATACTTTCTTGAGGAAAGAATTCAATGACTTGCAGAAGAAATTTAAAGATAAAAGTCAAGAAGATAAGGTGTATTGACTTGAACATAGTTTCATAGGAGTGTTTTATTTGAAGTCTTGCTTTACCCTTTGTGGCACAGAAAGTGACAAGCTTGGATGAAAAAATTGCCTAAGGCCCTGCTGTACCATACAGTTTTCTCACATGCAAAAACTCAGAGAAAAATGCTTTAAAGACTCCAAGCTTTATAACTTTCAGATAAATAGTTAATGATGGAAATGGAGCTAAGAAAGTAGGAGTGTGAATATGTGGCTTCTAGTAATTAGATTCTGATGGGACTGGCATTATTAATTGATAAAACCAGGTCTGGGAGGATATGTCTGTGTGGGTCTCAAAAATAGCTGGGGACAGCATCAAAGGCAGCTTGATCAATTAATGGGCTCTTTGCAAATGTGTACTCATCAAAGCTGTCATCCAGTGAAAAAATATGACCCATCCACCTGCATGAAAAGAGGCCAATAAAAGTACACAGGTGACCTTGGCCATCAAATATAGAAGAAGCTGCTGTGAGGGTGAAACTGCACAGTTTATATTTGCTGATTAGTTCTCACCTTTTTTGTTGTTGTTGTTGTTTATCGGCCCTTGTGGTACTGTTCTACAGGACACTAAGGAATGTGTAAAGAATAAAGAAGAGCAAAATAGGCTGGTTATAAAAAATCTAGAGGAGGAAAATAAGAAATTGAGTACACGCTGCACTGACCTGTTAAATGACCTGGAGAAACTAAGGAACCAAGAAGCACATTGGAAAAAAGAAAAATATGGCATTGATGCAAAAATAAAGGTACACAATGAGAATGGAATACATACTGCAATTCTGGATTTAACTTCATATAAGAAATTTAATACATGTTATTTTCTTTCAAATAACAAGTTATATATTCAAACCCACCAGTGGGGAGTAGCATTAATTTATATTCTTTCACTTAAGACCCATAGCTTTTTAAAAATTGATGTTGCAAAGCAGGAAACTGACTTCAAATAGTTATCCTAAAATGTAGTCATTAAAAAATAAAGGCTATTGCATTTTGAAATAAAATGTGTTTTTTTAAAAAATATTCGGAATCATGAGTTTTGACTTTTTAAAAGGAAGGCTTAAATTCATAAATGCAGATAAAATTTATTGTAATATAATTTTACTTTAAAAGTAAAGGGTAATGCCTCCCCCAGAAAACCATTAAAAATACTCATAGATGGTTCTAAAATGGTGCTTTATTTATTTAAAGGGGAGTTATTTATAGTAAAATTTTAATAGAATATAAAAGTTAATAATCTTATAAAATTCTTACATTATTTTGATCAGTATTTTTCAAAATAATGTGTTTTGGGGGCATTCCCTTTGTCTTCAGCAGGTTTTTGCTCATTTATTTTCCAATCAAATGTCAGGTTTCTCTTTTACTGTATATTTTATTTAAAATGGCATAAATAAACAAGGCTACAAAAACATGGTAGTCTTTCTCTATATATATGTACATAAAAGAAATATAACCAACACATGTATTTATATATCTATTTAAAATATGTAATTATAATATAGATATGTATGTGCATATGAGCACATGTGTGCATAAATATTTAAGTTAGGGGAGAAGGATATGTCTGAACGTGTGAATTGATCCTTTGCAGATTTTTAAGGGAACACATTGAGTGTTAGTGCACAATCAGAATGACTAAGCCAGTAAGGAAACTGAATTCTGGTGCATTTGTTTTCTTAATTTTTAAATTAGTTTCTGCTACATTACATCCTTTAAAAAAGTTGTTGGTTTGATAAGAGTAGGTGTTAATTCACAACTACATGATTATTTAGTGATAATTTTCACTAAATAATATATATATGTATATGCATACAATATAGATAATATGTATATAAAATTATATATATATATATGTGTGTGTGTGTGTGTGTGTGTGTGTGTGTGTGTGTTTGTATATATATATCATAGAAATTGGGTTCATTTATGTAAAAAAATCATACCTGCATGGAATTTGATTTGCTCCATTTTAGTTCCTGTTGCCCCACTTTCCCTTCCCTTCTTCCTTTCTTTATTCTCCTACATCTATTTTACTGATCTTCCTTTGGCTCATTTATTTATTTATTTTTGATAAATTTTTGATTTCTACATATACATAAAGGTGGAATTCCCTGTGGTAAATTTATACAAGCACATAGTGTGATTTTGTAAATTCATTTCTGCATTTCCTTTCCTTCTAGTCCTTGTTAACTCCTTCTCAGTCTCTTTCTTCGACTTCACTGTATTTTTATGGTATTTCTATTTCTCCTCTTCTTTTTCTTGTTTTGCTCCAGCTTCCACATACTAGAGAAAACATTTACCCTTGATTTTCAGGGTCTGGCTTATTTCACTTAGCATCATGTACTCCACCTCTATCCATTTACCAGCAAATACCATAATTTCATTCTTCTTTATGGCAGAGTAAAACTCCATTATGCATACATACCACATTGTCTTAATCCATTCATCTATTGATGGGCATCTGGACTGATTACATAATTTGATTATTGTGAATTGTGCTGCTATAAACATTAAAGTGACTGTATCATTGTATTTGCTGAGTTCAGATGTTTTGGATAAATACCAAGGAGTGGGATAGCTGGGTCATATGGTGATTCCATTTCTAGTTTTTTGAGGAATTGCCATCCGGTTTCCCAGAGTAGTTGTACTAATTTGTAGTCCCAACAAAAATGTATGAGTATACCTTTATCCCCACAGTCTTACCAGTATTTACTATTATTTGTATTCTTGGTAATTTCCATTCTCATTAGAGTAATATGAAATATTAGTGTAATTTTGATTTGCATTTCCCTAAATGATAGGGATGTTGAACGTTTTTTCATGTATTTGTTGACCATTGTGTTTTTTCTTTTAATAAATGTCTGTTTAGTTCTTTAACTAATATATTTTTTTAAATATTTATCTTTTATTTGTACACAATACATTTATTTTGTTTATTTATTTCTATGTGGTGCTGAGAATCAAACCCTGGACCTCGCACATGCTAGGCGAGCACTGTACCTCTGAGCCACAACCCTAGCCCCTAGCCAATATATTAATTGGATTTTTTGGGCTTTTTGATGTTTAGTTTTTTGATTTTTTTATATATTAATATTATGTATACTATATGTATTAATTTCCTGATAGAGGAGTAGCTGACCAAGATTTCTCCCATTATTTGGGCTTTCTTAACACTCTTAATCATTTCCTTTTTTGCAGAAGCTTTTGAGTTTGATGGCATCCCACTTATTGAGTATTGAACTTATTTCTTGAGCTTTTGGGATCTTGTTAAGAAAGTTGGTACCTGTACCAATATGTTGGTGGGTTGACTCTATTTTCTTCTAGCACCTACAATGTTTGTGGTCTAATTCCTAAGTTTTTGATTAATTTTGAGTTGACTTTTGTGTGGGGTGAGAGGGATCTGGTTTCATTCTTCTACATATGAATTTTCAATTTTCCCAGCAGCATTGGTTAAAAAGGCCATCTTTTCTCTAATGTATATTTTTGACACCTTTGTGAACTCACAGATGCTTTTAAGAACATGGGTTTGTCCCTGTGTTTTCTGTTCTGTCTCATTTGTCTTCACATCTATTTTGATGCCAATGCCATGCAGTTTTTGTTACTATACTTTTGTAGTATAATTTAAAATCAGGTATTGTGATGCCTTCTGCATTGCTCTTCTTGTTCAGCATCACTTTGGCTATTATGGGTTTCTTAATCTTCCAAATGAATGAACTATTTTTTTCCTAGTTCTGTGAAGAATGTCATGGGTATTTTGATAGGAATTGCATTGAATCTCTATAACATTTTTGGTAATATGGCCATTTTGACAATATTAATTCTGTTTATCCAAGAACATGAGAAGTCTTTCCATCTTCTAAGGTTTTCTTCAATTTCTTTCTTCTATTTTCTGTAATTTTCATTGTAATGATATTTTACCAAATTGAATAGTTTAATTCTCAGTTATTTTACATTTTATGATTATTGTGAGAGGAGTAATTTTACTATTTCTTTCTCAGCAGAATCATTGTTGGAATATAGGAAAGCTATTGATTCATGAGTGTTGATAAAAACTTTTCATGGTAAAAATAAAATAAAAAAAATCATGAGCACCAAGCCAGCAACAGTACAAAGAAAACTCAAAGACAAACTGCACATAGAGAAACTAAAAAACAATCCAAAGCTCTCAAAAAGGAAGTTCAATAGAAGAATAACCCACTAAATTAGAATCAAGATAGGAAAAAATAGAGCAAAAAACCAAAATGTCAGGAAACCCAAACACATATCCATATTAATGATGAATGTTAATGCTCTCAGCTTCCCAACTAAAAGACAAAGATTAGCAGAATGGATTGAAAAGCAATATTCATCTATGTGCTATTTGTGAGGGACTCATAGGCAAAGACATCAACATGATAACGGTAAAGGTATTGAAAAAATATTCCACTCATTTGGACCATAAAAACGAGAAGGAGTAGCTATTCTCATACCTGACAAAGCAGATTCTAGAAAGAATTAATTAAAAGAGACAAAGAAGGCCACTGTATCCCTTTAGCTGTTGAAGGGTATCTTGGTTTGTTCTGTAGCTTGGTTATTGTGAACTTTGTGTCTATAAACATGTGGCTGCATCATTGCAGTGTACTGTAAATCTGGGCATGTACTGTCAAGTACACATAGTGGTTCCATTCATAGTTTTCTCAGAAATTTTCATGTGCTTTCTAGAGGGGTTATACTAATTTGCAGTCCCACAAACAATATATGAGTGCACTTTTCAATGTACATTCTCCCCAATATTTATTGTTATTGTATTCTTGATAATTGCCATTCTGAGTGGAGTAAGATATAATCATAATATAATTTTAATTTGCAGTTCTAGAATTGCTAGAGATGTTGAAACATTTTTTTCATATACTTGTTAACATCTGTATTTCTTCTTTCAAGGAGTATCTGTTTTGTTTTTTTTTGCTCATGTGTTGATTTTGTTATTTAATATTTTAGTTGTAAATGGACATGATATCTTTATTTATATGGTGCTGAGTATTGAACCCAGTGCTTCACACATGCTAGGCAAGTGCTGTATCACTGAGTCACAACTCCTGCCTTATTATTTGTTTTTGATCCTAGGTGTTTATCATTCTTTATATATTCTGGATATCAACACCTTATCTGAGGAGCAGGTGGCAAAGATTTGCTCCCTTTCTGTGGGCTCACTCTTCATACTCTTGTTTCCTTTGCTGTGCAGATGCATTTTAGTTTGATGCTATCACACGTATTGATTTTTCATTTTGTTTCTTATGCTTTACATATCTTGTAAGGAAGTTTCTTCCTATGCTGACATCTTAGAGGGTGGGGCCTGCATTTTCTTCTAGTTGTTGCAGGGTTTTGATCTAATTGCTAGGTCTTTGATCTACTTTGAGTTGAGTTTTGTACCTGGTGAGGGAAAGAAGTTAAATTTCATTATTCTACATAGGGATTTCCAGTTTTCCCAGCACCTTTTTTTTTTTTTTAAAGGCCATCTGTTCTCCAACATTTGCTTTTGGAACATTTATCTAGTATCACATAACTGTGTTTATGTGGTTTTGTTTCTGTGTCTTATATTTCATTGGTCTTCATGCCTGTTTTGATGTTAGTACCTTGCTGTTTTTGTTACCATAGTTCTGTAGTACAATTTGAGGTCCAGTATTGTGATGTCTCCTGTTTTGTTTTTTTTCAGTAAGGATAGCTTTGGCAATTCTGGGTTTGTTATTTTTCCCAATTAATTTCATAACTGCTT